GGGGGGGGGGGGGGGGGGGGGGGGGGGGGGGGGGGGGGGGTCCAAAATTTCTACCCTAAACACTCCTTTCAGATCGTGTTTCACAAAAAAAACTAAAAAGTGATACATACCATAACCATTCGTTATTGTTTGACCACTTAATTGAGTTTTAAATGGTTGCATAACACTAGCAGGCGAAGTAAATGAACGTTGACCAATAGGAAAAACATTATGATCTAGAATAATTTAAATAGATTACAAAAACTATTATTTTCAATACTGTTTTTTTTTATACCATCAACTATTAAATGAACTGAATTTCCAACTATAATTGCTGAACGAACATGAGGTGATAGACTAATAGTAGCTAAAATAAATAAACAAATAAATAATTATTGTTATTTTTTTCAAAATATGATAATCAAAAAGTTCAAACTTTTTTCAACATATTCATTAGGTCATAATGATCTACATTACGTACATAGTCTAGACTCAAAGACAATTAATCAGTTGTATGACTTCCTTCATAATTCTCACTAAAGTCAATAAATTAAAAAAAAAACAATGAATTAACTTAAACGAGTTTCAAACTAAAATTTCTTTTCATTTTGCATTGTCTTACAAAAAAGAAAAACGAAATCAAAAAATATTTTACCAAGAATTTTGTTAATAATTTTTGAAATCATTCTTCATGAAATTTTTAGTTTGAATTGACTCAGCTGTTGTTTTTTTCAAAAGCTGTAAATCAATTCAATTGCGTTCGATTAAGATTACCGGAACTCCACTACACTTTCACTAATTAGCGAAATTTCAAAGAACACGTTGGCAAAACTCCTGAGAGTCTATTAGTGAAAGTCGAAATTCCCTTCGGTTAGCTAAAGGATCAGATCGATTTTACTCTTTGATAGATAATTCATTGAATATAATGATATAACTTACTATTAACACCAATTTCTGCAGTTGCTGTTGGTTCTTTTGTAATAATTTCATCATGAATTTCTTGTTGTTGATTTTGATTTGAATGTTGCATAGTTAAACCCATATCAATATATGTACCCATTGTTGTTTCTTGTTTATTTGTATTAATTGTTGATGTTGATGTTAATATTGTTTCATTTGTTTGTTTTGTCATTGTTGATGAAACACTTAATGTTGAATCAGTTTTTTTTTGATATTCAGGTAAAATAATTTGATGTTGATCATTATGAAATTTATTTTCATCAATATTAAATGCAACAGATTTATTTTTTGATAATAAATTATTATTAATTGTTAATAATTGTTCATTATTATTATTATTATTACTATGAAATGTTGCTGAACGTCTTAAATTTGAAACATTTTTAGTCAATGCACGAAAAAATCCAACAATTAAATGTGATTTTATTTCATTTGTTGTTGTTGTATTTGAATTACTATCAGTTTTTTCAATTGTTTTTTTATTTTTAATAAATGATAATGGTGAATCTAATATTGATTGATTTGCAGTATCATTATTAAGTTGTATAGGTGGATGTATATTTTTCGATTTTTCAATACGTTTATTAGTTAATAATTGATTTTGAAATGCTGATGAAAGTATTAATGGACGTTCTTCAATAACAGGACTAACTAATAAATGTATTGTACTTGCTAATGATGATGAATAACATTTCATATGTATTTCACCATTACCATAATTTGATTTACCTAATTCAATAAGAAATATATTTGAACGATTTCCATAATTTTTTATTGTAAAATATGGTATACATAAAATAGCTTTATCATTTGATGGACATTGATTTGTAATTGTTATTTTTAAATCTTGTCTATTACAATATATTGATGCAATATATAAATCTGTTGTTGTAAAATAAAGACGTGCTGGACCAATTAATATATGATCACGATTTATAATTGAACCATATGGAATTAAATTTATATCAAATGTATGTAATATATGTTCTGTTGTTGGTGGACATGGTAATACAGATGTTTGTTGTTGTGATTGTTGTTGTATTGTTGTTGATAATGATTGAGATTGTGTTGAATCTTGTGATGAAGAATTAATATTTAATGTTGATGATTTGTCTATTTTACTTTGTAACATATATTCAATATGTTTAATAATTAAAGATTTTTTATCGAGATTATCATCAGAAAAAAATATTGATATTGTATATGATTCAAAATAAGCATAAATAAATGATTGAAAATCATTTTTAACTGTATCAAAATATTCAAATGATATACATTCATTTAATAGATATGTTAATGATGAATTTGATTTACGAATTATTTCAATACATGGTTGTTCATTTGTTGATGATAATGAACAACTTTCAACAAATGTTAAATATATATGACGTTTAGTTTTCTAAAAAAAAAAAAAATTTTTTACAAATTTGAATACAAGTTATAATTATAATCTCAAGGAAAATTTTTCTTTCAATCTATATAAAACTCAACAGCTGTCGCAAACTATAATTGATGATTGATAGATATGAAATTTGTAGTGCATGAATATCTATATGCCGTTAATGATTAAAGTTGATGTAAATTGTTACAGTTTTCAGCTGATGAGAATACTTATTGAGGATAATTTATTAGAATAATGCGAATGTTTAGATTAGCAGAATTAATTTTATCTCAAAACCTTATTATACTTTTATATTAAATTAAATACAAACATTTCTAAACATATTTTCAATTAGAAAATAAGAGAATTGTCTTAAGTCTATACTCTTCGTAGTCTTCTGGCTTATCAACAAACTTTACAAAGGCTAATTAGTTTCTTCCATTGCCTTACAAAATCCCTCGAGCATTATAATGATATACCATATACTCCACAAAATTCTGTGACATATTAGTGTAGACATCAGTTATGATACGAGCAGAATTATACCGTATAGAAAGCTTGAAACAAATTTCTCTTTATATATCATTGTAACACAAACAATCATCTATATTTCTTCAGAATAAAAAAAAATGCAATGAAATCATGTCATCTTGAAACTACGACATGATTAAAGACTTACCTAATTGTTGAGATAAACTGAGACTATGAAAACAATTTATCCGAAATCAAACACAAAGTTATAGGTAAATACTCTATGGTTTTGAGAGAATAATCGAAAAATGGGTATTGAAGAATTTTTTTTAGATTTGATTGAAATAAAATCTGAAATTAAAATCACCAAGACCGAATTGAATTTATAACTGAAGTCAAAACCCAAAAAAAAAAAACGATTCCACAAATCTTTGAATCTGATATTTAAAAAATCTTGAACAAATTGATTGCCTTATTAATAACTATCCTTGTATTACTATTAGACTTCGATGCAAACTTCTATTCATTTGATTTGATCTACCCTAACGAGAAACGATCTTCAAGTAATAAATTACTTTCGATCTGAGACTTTATTCAATCGATAGAGTCTAGTAAATAAATAAACACTCTAGAATGTTTCCAATTCCTAGACCTATATTAGTAAGATTTCAAATTTTTAGCCGATATTTTCTTTAGATAAGAAATAATTAATTACTTGTAAATCTTCTCTCACAAAAACAAAAACAAATTTCAAATAATATTTAAACAAACCTTTTTTCTTTGAATACAAATAATTTTAATATCACTTAATGTTTGTGGTGTTGTATTAGTTGTTGTTGGATCAATACCATTGTTTGTATTTGTTGCTGTAGTTGTTGTAGCAGCAACAATATATGATGGTGGATGGCTATTATTTAATGTTGATGAAGTTGCAACAAACATTTTTCAACGATCATTATTTATCAGTAATTATAAAAAAATGAATGATCTCTAGAACAAAACCAAAATACATTCAATATTATCTATTCTGATATAGTTCTTTCATTTTGTTTTATACAAAAAGCACCAGAATAGATATCTGAATGAAAAATAAAGGCATAAAAAAAAAACAACAACAACAACAACACAAAACAAAGAAAAATATAAAATTGTTCAATATCTTCGTTTAAATTAATTAGACATTATTTTCATTTTTTATTGTATTAAAAGTAATTTGATTTTCATTTATATCATTATTATCAAATTGTATGTTTGAAGATTGTTGAATAGTTATTGTAGATGATGTTAAATGATTATCATGAGATGTCGATGGTGTTGAAGGAGTTTCAGGTGATGACATATTCGTTGATGATTGATGTTTATAAAGTGCTAGTTCAGTTTGATAAACATGTCTTTTTTCAGTTGCAACTTTTTCATATTTTATTTTTAATTCAGCAGGTGTTTGTTTCCATCGAATACCAAGTTCTCGTGCAACGTCACTAACTGACATACCTTTTTTGTATACGAAAAATAGATAAAATATTGATAATGATTATTCACAAATAAATTTATACACCTGTATGTTTTTAAAACACAAAGAACAATGTGTTTAGAATGATAAAGCAAAGATTTTTTTGGGGACAAAGGTAATACTCTATTTTAAACTATAATTTATTTGTTAATTATTAATATTAATGAGTATGATAACAATTGTTTGGTATGATTCTTTTGACCTTTTATTATTGTAAAAATATTTTCAACATTACTCTATAAACTTTAATAAAAATAAAATATAATATTTGATAGACTGAATTCATAAGTTCATGATGACTTTTAAAATACATGAGTCTCAAACTTTGTTTAATACTATTAAAGTAAAACTTTTTTCAAATATTTACTTTGAGAGACCTTTTCATTCAATTTTGTTATAAGTTTTTTTTCTTTTTTATTGCATGTCGATATAACCTAAACATTACTATATGATTAATACAATAAATAAAAGAAATTTTTTTTTTTGATACAGTCATAAAAATATTTGTGCTTGGAAGGAAAGAAAAAAAAAAAAACAAATGTTACTCACATATGATTTTGTACTCAAAATAGAAAAAAAAAGAAACAATAAAGACCAGATTGACATTGATTAATGTGACAAAGTTTAAAAACAACTAAATATTTTTCTTAATGATATTTTAATAGATTATTTATTAATCATTGAATCTAGGCTATTTAACTTATTAATTATTCTTTATTATATATTTAATATGAAATTTTTCTTTAAAATCTTAATTAAAAAAAAATTTTTTATCATAAAATTATCATATTTTGAATATAGATGATTATAAGAAAAAATATTTTTTGATATTGATTATATTTAAATAAATTTTAAATTTTTTCTAATTGTAAAGTAGTTTTGTTTTCTTTGTTCTGTACATGAATAGGAGAATATTTATGAGAATGGGACATTTCGCACCACCTTTTCATTACGATCTCCGGACATAAGACAAGATGTTCGGGATGATAAAATTAATCAAAAATTTTAAAAAAAAACAAGGTGTTCGTAATGAAATTTGTCCAAGACAAAAGTCATTTCCGAACACATGACAGGAGTTCGGAATGACTTAGTGTGAAATGTCCGTCATCCAATATTTATTGCTTAGAGTACAGTAGTTATTATAGTTCATGAGACCAGAGATAAGTCCCGACCTATTATAAATCTAATAGTTTAATTTAAATAAAACAAATTTTTCTTTACTAAATAACAGATAGGACAATGTATATTAATTAAACAACATACGTAGCTCTTTAAACTATAACTAAATTGTAATTATCTGTTTACTAGTTTGTATATCATTTGCTATCTATTGATTATTTGATAGAATAAAATTCTAATAAATTTTCTATATGTTATATAAAACTATATACTACTAATAATTTGTAAAATCGACTTTTTTCGAATACGAAATTTCATTCCAATAATCAATTGATTATTACAATAGATATTCACTTCTATTCTTTTAACCCTTTCGCGCCGGGTATTCCTTATATGAGACGGCGGAGTTTTTCATTATATGCCCGTAGTAATACGACTCCAAGTACAATTTGATACGAGTATTTGAGAAGTTCTATCTATTACAAGGATAGAAAGACCAATGGGGATGATACATTTCTAATGCAAAGCTTTTAATGCTTCGTTTCGTCTGTCTTAAAAAATTTAAAGAAGTAGTTTGTTAAATCTGTAGGACTTGTACTTGAGGGTTTTGTCTCCTATTCTGCCATCCGTCAGTATCATAGTATAGCACTCTCACACATGCGTATTCTATACATATTTTCTTTTGTTCTGTTTACATGGATGATATTGCATTTACGAGTGCAAGGAGTGCAATGTTGATTTATGCGTAGTAGCATGTTTTGAAACCTATCATATATTGAAACACTTCTAATAAAAATTATATTATAAAAGGTGAAGATCATTGACTTACAGAATTTCTAGCGATTTAGAAAGCTACTTTTTAGACGCTCGAGCTTTTTACACACTGTGATAAAACTAATTGTCCATTGGATACGAACATATTTCTTACTGAAAAAATTCGGATTAAGTAATCAATACAATATAAATCGTGTATATAAAACTTTTTCATGAATATATGTAAATATATATTTTAATTCAATATACGAATAGAAAACTTTACTTTAAAACATGTAAATGATTTTCAAGGATAAAATCTCTGAAAAACAAGCTTTTATCTTCTGTTTTATCTCATGAAATTCTCTACAAAATAAAACATCTTCTAGGCCTTGAAAACATTCTTATGACCAAGATACAGTAGCCTTACGAAAAAAACACCAAAAAATGATCTTTCTATGTAAACTAATAGAAAAAAAAGCAATCTGTAGTGCCTTCAGTAAGATTGATGTATTTCAATTAAAAAATCATTGTAGATAGCTGGAAAACTTTCATCAAATTCTATTAAGCTTCTTACTATTAAAATCTTGTCTACACGACTATCATATGCATTCAAATTAAATCTTTATAGAAAACTTTCAATTAGTTGACTTTTAATATTCATTTATTAGAAGTAGTTTCTTATTTTTGTTTTTTACCTGTTTGTAAACTTAAAACTTTTGGTCGTTCATCAGCACAAAAAAGAAAATAAGCCGATAAAGGTTTTTTTGGTGCATGTGGATCTTTTGGTTTTCGTTCACGTTTTTTTATTGATTTTTTTTGTATATTAACAATTGTATGTTGTTGTATTGGTTCAATAAAATATTGTGTTGATGATGTTTGATGTAATATTGATGATGTTTGTAATTCTTGTTGTTGTTTAATTAATTGTTCTTGTTGATAAACAGCAAGTTCTTCTTTATAACGTTTACGTTGTAAATCAACAATATCATTAAAACGTTTTTTTTCATTATCATTCATAGATTTCCAACGATCGGAACATTTTTTAGCAATAACATTATAATCAACAGTTAAATGAGGATATTTTCGACGTAATTCATCACGACATGTCCGAACAAATAATGCATAAGCTGTTATTGGACCACGAGGTTTATTTATATCAATAGGTTTCTTTGGCATAATTACGAATAAAATGATTTAAGAGCAAAAAAAAAAAAGTGAACAGGGAAAATAATATTTACATGTATAATTAAATGTAAAATAATCTTTTTCTTTTTCTTTTTTTCTTCTTGTTCTGTCTTTTGCATCAAAGAGAAAGAAAAAAAAGTAAGTATAAACAACAATTGAATTATTCACATGTGACGAATGATACAGGATTCGTCGAATAGTAATGAGTGTGTTACAATCAATGTCAATATTATTTTTGACAGGAGGTTCGAAAGACGTTTTTTATTGGTTAAATTCAATAGTTTGTTATTGAGTTGAGCAGTATCATCATCACAATCAACATGTGAATAAAAGATAAAAATAAAAGAAAAACAAGATTTAGATTCGTTTTTATTTTGTTGTTGTCGTTTGATATTCAATGTCGAACTCTCCGGTGCTAAAATCACGTCATAGTGAAATAGAATTATTGGTTGAATCACCAGATATTCAAACATCACCTAATACATCGATTTCGGAAAATATTAATGATCCTAGTTTATTAATAGCGAATGACCTTACAGATTCAATATCATCACATATTGATGAAAACAATGAAAATGAAGCTGTATGTTAAAATTTATTTAAAAAAAAATATAGAATTTTAATATATTAGATTTTTATCATAATGTAATTAACTTATCTAAGATTTTTTCGTTTAAAGTATTTTTATTAGACGAATTATTTTGTTTTGCTGTTTTCTATTCTAAATTTTGATAGATATGACATAGAAGAAAAATAAATATTCTATTCCTGATAATAAATTTTCACTTTTTGAAATAATTTAGACAATCAAAATGATCAGTTTTTTTTATATCTTAGAATAATACAAAAAAAGAAAAGACTGTTGAGCAAAGTTTTCATTATTTATTAGTGCATTTGAAAATACATTTTTATTGCATGAATAACTTTTAAACTTTAATAATGATATGTTTAGATTGCACCACTTGTTGCTTCACTTGTTGGTGATATAACTGAACATCGAACAACGTAAATAAACTAAAATTCTATCATATTTAAAAATGATCATATATATATATATTTGTTTTCTTTTATTTAGAAATACTGAAACATTAATGCATTTACTTAAAGGCAATGTAGGTGCTGGTATTCTTGCTTTTCCTTATGCATTATCAAAAGCTGGATTAGTTGTATGTTTTAGTTATTATTAATTCTTTTTTTTTGTCTTTAATCTTTTTTCTTTTTCTTATAGTTTGGTTCTATTGCTTTTTGGATAATGGGTGCAATGACACTTTATTGTATGCATCAATTACTTCGATGTCATGAATATTATCGAGATCGGTTAATATTTAAAATTTCATGAAAAAATTGAAAGAAAAAAAAACGATTATTTCTA